GCCCTCAGCCAGCCTCACATGTGCCGCCTGTGCCATTGTTTACCAGCCAGCCTCCGCGGTAACATCCAAGCATACACTCGGAATATTTCGTATTATTACAGTGTTTTCGGTGCTGTTTCTGGAAAATAAGTGCCATGGGCCCCAAGAAAGCTTCTAGTTCCAACCTACAGCAATAAGGGTTAGGATTCCTATTGAAATGAAGAAAGAGATCATTGATAGTATGAAAGTGGAGTGCGTATCACCGACCTGGTCAGGTTGTACAAGAAACCCAAATCAACCATCTCTTCTATTGTGGGCAAGAAAACGGCAATCAAGGAAGCTGTTCTTGCCAAAGGTTTAACTGTGTTTTCGAAACAAAGATCGTAAGTGATGGAAGATGTTGAGAGACTCTTATTGGTGTGGATAAATGAAAAACAGCTAGCAGGAGATAGCGTCTCTCAAGCGATCATATGTGAAAAGGCTAGGAAGTTGCATGAGGATTTAATTAAAAAAAGGCCTGCAACTAGTGATGATGTGAGTGAATTTAAGGCCAGCAAAGGTTGGTTTGAGAGATTTAAGAAGCGTAGTGGCATACATAGTGTGATACGGCATGGTGAGGCTGCCAGTTCGGACCACAAAGCGGCTGAAAAATTGTGCATGAATTCAAGGAGTACATAGAAACTGAAGGACTGAAACCTGAACAAGTGTTTAATTGTGATGAAACAGGCCTGTTCTGGAAGAAAATGCCAAGCAGGACCTACATTACTCAGGAGGAAAAGGCACTCCCAGGACATAAGCCTATGAAAGACAGGCTTACTTTGTTGATGTGTGCCAATGCTAGTGGTGATTGCAAAGTTAAGCCTTTATTAGTGTATCACTCTGAAACTCCCAGAGCGTTCAGGGAAAAGAATGTCCTCAAGGATAATTTGTGTGTGCTGTGGAGGGCAAACAGTAAGGCATGGGTCACTAGGGAATTTTTCTATAACTGGTTACACCATGCATTTGCCCCCAATGTGAAAGATTACCTAACTGAAAAGAAATTAGACCTTAAGTGCCTCCTGGTGTTAGACAATGCCCCTGGTCATCCTACAGACGTGGCAGAGCGACTTTATGGGGGCATGAGCTTCATTAAGGTGAAGTTTTTGCCTCCTAATACCACTCCTCTCCTGCAGCCCATGGACCAGCAGGTCATTTCCAACTTCAAGAAACTGTACACAAAAGCTCTGTTTCAAAAGTGCTTTGAAGTGACCACAGACACTCGATTGACTCTAAAAGAGTTTTGGAAGGATCACTTTAATATCCTCAATTGTGTAAACCTTATAGGTAAGGCTTGGGAGGGAGTGACTAAGAGAACCTTGAACTCTGCTTGGAAGAAACTGTGGCCAGAATGTGTAGACAAAAGGGATTTTGAAGGGTTTGAGGCTAACCCTGAGAGGAGTATACCAGTTGAGGAATCAATTGTGGCATTAGGGAAGTCCTTGGGGTTGGAGGTTAGTGGGGAGGATGTGGAAGAGTTGGTGGAGGAGGACAATGAAGAACTAACCACTGATGAGCTGATAGATCAACTTCAAGAGCAAGAGGCCAGACCTGGGGAAACTGGTTCAAAGGAGGGAGAGAGAAATTGAAGGAATTGCCTACTTCAAAGATTAAGGAAATGTGTGCAAAATGGCTTGAAGTGCAAACCTTTTTTGATGAAAATCACCCTCACACAGCTATTGCAAGCCGTGCTGGTGACTGTTACAATGACAGTGTTGTGAACCACTTTAGACAAATCATAAAGGAACGAGAGGTACAGGCCACTATGGACAGATATGTTGTGCGAAAGAAGTCCAGTGACTCTGAAGCTGGTCCTAGTGGCATTAAAAGAAGAAGGGAAGTAACCCCAGAAAAGGACTTGCCTCCTCAAGTCTTAATGGAAGGGGATTCCCCTTCTAAACACTAACACTCTCTCTCCCCTCCTCCCATCCCATCAATCATCACCAGATCTTCAATAAAAGTAAGTGTCATGTAATTGTGCATGCCTTTTTCAGTTTGTGTGTACTAAAATTAACTTTTTTGTGGTAAAAAAAAATTTTTTTCATACTTTTGGGTGTCTTGCACGGATTAATTTTATTTCCATTATTTCTTATGGGGAAAATTCATTCACATAGCGAACATTTCGCATAACAGCCAGCCCTCTTGCACGGATTAAGGTCGCTATGCGGGGGTCCACTGTACTCTACTCTTCTTATAACACTTCTGCTTTGCAAAAACCTCTCATAAGCTAACTTTTTCTCTTTTATCACATCCTTTACTTCATCATTCTACCAATCTCTCCTCTTTTCCTCCTGCACCCACCCTCCTATAACCACAAACTTCTGCCCCACATTCTAATACTGCATTTTTACAACTATTCCAACCGTCTTCAACCCTCCCACTACTCATACTTGCACCAGCCCACCTTTCTGCCAATAGTTGCTTATATCTCACCCAAACTTCCTCCTCCCTTAGTTTATACACTTTCACCTCCCTCTTACTTGTTGTTGCCATTTTCCTCTTTTCCCATCTACCTCTTACTCTCACTGTAGCTACAACTAAATAATTATCCGATATATCAGTTGCCCCTCTATAAACGTGTACATTCTGGAGCCTACCCATCAACCTTTTATCCACCAATACATAATCTAACAAACTACTTTCATTACGTGCTATATCATACCTTATATATTTATCCTCTTCTTCATAAAATATGTATTACTTATTACCAAACCTCTTTCTACACATAGCTCAATTAAAGGCTCCCCATTTTCATTTACCCCACGGCACCCCCAAATTTACCTACTACTCCCTCCACAACATTTTTGCCCACTTTAGCACTGAAATCCCCTACCACCATTACTCTCACACTTGGTTCAAAACTCCCCACGCATTCACTCTGCTGATGATACAAAGATAGGCTGTATGATTCATTCTGAGGAGGATTCCAATGAACTCCAGGAGGATTTGGACAAATTAATGTCTTGGTCTGAAAAATGGCAGATGAAGTTTAATGTGGATAAGTGTAAGGTACTGTCCTTGGGAACGAAAATAATCCTCGAAGCTATAAACTAGGTTAAGTAGAACTTGATCATACAGAATGTGAAAAAGACTTACGAGTCATGGTAAGCAGAAATCTAAAGCCAAGACAGCAGTGCCTAAGTGTGTGCAACAGGTCTAACGGATTACTAGTATTTATTTCAAGAAGTATAAGTAACAGAAGTCCAAAAGTTATTTTACAGCTCTATACATCACTAGTGAGGCCTCATTTAGATTATGCCGCTCAGTTTTGGTCTCCTTACAACAGGATGGATATAGACTCATTGGAGAACATACAGAGAAGAATGACTAAAATGATATACTGTGTAAGGAATCTCCCATATGAAGACAGACTTAGAGCCTTGAATCTCCACTCTCTGGAGAGATGTAGAATGAGGGGAGATATCATTGAAGTGTATAAGTGGATGATGGGTATAAACAAAGGAGATATTAATAAAGTACTGAAGGTGTCGAACCCGGTAAGAACCAGAAATAATAGATTTAAATTGGATAAATTTAGATTTAGAAAGGACATAGGTAAGTACTGGTTTTCGAACAGAGTTGTGGATGCGTGGAACAATCTCCCGAGTAGGGTGATCAAGGCTAGGACCTTGGGTAGCTTTAAAAAGAGAGTGGACAAATATACGAGTAGAAGGGGCTGGGTTTGATTGGTGTCATTGGGTACAGGAGGATATTCTTGGGAAGCTTTGGGTAGAGGCCGTTTTGATAAGGACCTGCCTTGTATGGGCCAGTAGGCCTTCTGCAGTGTTCCTCCATTCTTATGTTCTCACTCACATATTTCTCTAATCTACTTTTACTGCTACCCAAGGTTTTAGGTTTAACAGTCCTACCTGGCAGACTGTTCCACTCACTGACAACTCTATTTTGGAAGCAGTACTTCTCTATATCCTTTCTGCATCTAAATTTATTAAATTTTCATCCATATTTCAAAATCTTTCTTGGTTCGATATTCTCAGTATCCTATTGATATCTACTTCATTTATGCCCATCTTCCTCTTATATAATTCAATGATATCTTCCCTCATTCTGTCTTTCATGAGAATAGGTTAAGGACTCGCAACCTATCCACATAAAAAAGATTCTTAACATAATGGGTTGATTTTGTCATGCATGTGGCCAGCAGTAACAGCCTGGTTGATCAGACCCTGATCCACCATGAGGCCTGGTCCCATCCCGAGCCGCGGGGGCATAGACCTCCGAAACCCTCTCCAGGTAAACTCCAGGTAATACTGTCCAAAGCACTTGTGTCCATTCTGTAGTACGGAAACCAGAGCTGAGCTGCAAAACTCTAAGTGAGGCTTAATTAATGATTCATAGAGCTGTACTCCTGTTACTTACACTTCTTGATATTTATATCAAGTGATCTTGTTAGCCTTATTACTCATGTATTCAGATTTCAGCTTACCATAACTCCCAAGTCCTGTCATTCAGTGTGATTAAGTTCTATCTAGTACAAAATATAACCATGTCAAAGGCAGTAAAGTCAGATGATAACCGAATTGAAATTCAGACCTGCATGCACACGACTCCTGAGCAACAAAGCAGTCATGAGGGTGTTTTCACTAAATGCAACATTAACAAGAACATTAATTGGGATTAAATAATGAAATTTGCTGGGAAGATATACTGAACAGCATGGATCCAAACCAATATCTAAGCCAATATCATCTCTGTGGCACTAGAAGTATACTCAAGGCACATACCACTAAGGAAAAATTAGAGATGTAAGATAGGAAGAGAGACTCCCTCCACCTACGTATCACACACATACATGTACTGTGATGTTTTTATAAGTAATATAGATTTAATTTTATTTATAATTGAGAAGTTCTTTACTGAATCTCACTGAAATGGTGAATATAAATGCTTTCTCCTTTACTAAATCTAAGTGAACTAGCAAATATTAAATGCTATCTTACTGACTTATGTATATATTTTCATCCTACCTGTTTCTGGCTAACGTTGGAGGTGGCGGTCTAGGAGGCTTAACTTTGCTTGGTGTTGATTTAGCGCTCTCACTCTCATTTTCGGGTTCATCATCGTCACTCCAGAAAGGATTTAGACTTTTGCTTTCTTTTTTCTTGTCCTCTTTATCCATTTCCTTTTCATATTCCTGATCTTCATCACTTTCAAAGGGGTTCATGTTTACCTTGATAAGTTTCTTTGTTGTTTTCTGGTTATCATTATCCTGATGGTCAGACTTTTCTGTTATTTCTGCTTCGTCCCTTGAAACACCTTCAGGCTGTCTCTCCTCATCACTTCCAAAAGGATTAAGATCTTCTGGATACTGGATGGAGTGTAAGGATGTGGAGGAGATTTCAGCCCCACTGTCCTGCGAGACACAAGCAATAACATAATTATCACCATCGCTTCCACCTTCAGACTGGCTCACTGCAACACCACTTTCATCCTGCTGAGATTCTTCCTCCTCATCCTCGAATGGATTGTATTCTTTGAGTGTATCTGTTCTAACTGGTGGTTCTTCAAGGATTTTAGCGTCTGAATCAGACTGGATACTAATGTTATCCTCTTCCTTGCTCAAGACTTCATCGTTAGTAACTTCCTGATTCTCTGGGGTGATAGCAATGGATGGAATGGAAGGTAAGGTTTCGGTGCTTTCATTAACCATTTCATTATTATCTACTGATTCTATAAATTTTTTATGTTCTTCATTAACATACATATCTGAATCTATTTCATCTATATGCACAACCTTGCTAAGTTTACTTGAATCTTTAGAATTTTCATCTTTGTCTAGATCCTCAATATTATTTTTAATTTCCTCTCTAGTGACACAACTTGTTTCCTTCTTTCTATTATCAAAATTAAAATAATTAGATTTTATTTCACTTTTCTCGATTTTTGTTTTCTTTTTATCTGAGCTAACAGTTTTATCACTTATTTCTCTAAACATTTTTAAACGCTGGGCAACAATAGAAGATGACGTTTTGTTTGCTGCACCATTAGAAACATTGTTAGTTCTGTATCCTTGCCCTGTGTCCAAGGTTAATGTTTCAGGTGGGTGTATTATTGAACCTTTGGCTTCATCACAATGGTCTCGGGTAGAGTTACCAGTAGCAGCCACTCGAGTCTCTCTACCTTTGGCTTCTTCAATATGGTCTCGAGTAGAGCTGCCAGTGGTTGCCACTCTGGAATCACTACCCTGTGATCCAAATAAAGCTGAAGAAACTTGGGAAAAATGACTGATTCCATTGCTTGCCTTAGTGTCTTCTGCATTAATGTTTGAGTCATAGTTTTCATGATTCCCTTCCAAGGTCTGTGAAAGAAACACAGTACGAGGTTTAAGCGGCTTAGGAGAAAACTGTGGAGAGTGTGATAAAGTATCGCTGCGGGTGTCGATGTGGTGGGTCTTATCCTCGAGTAACGACTCAACATTGTGGCTGTAGCTGTCACTCTCGTCCCCAGAGTCTTCAGTGTTTGAATCAGAATCAGACTCTGTGTCAGAGGCAGATGATCGTCGTTTATGTTTACTTGAAGTGTGACTGGAAATGCTGGTGGAATCAACATCTGGCAAATTATTGTGTTCTTCATCAGGGCAGGTCTCACAGCAAAACTGCCCTTTTTCAGTCTCATAGTAGCTCGCCAAGGTCAGCTGTGTGTTGCACCGGGCACAGCGGAAACACGTACGGTGCATCAACTGACCTGGAGAGCCAACTGACAACCGCTCGGCTAGGAATACCGGGTTGCTGCATCCAGCACACACCTCACGACGCACTCGCCCACCCGCCAACACCTGTACCACCAAAACAAACATTAGTAAAATATTAATTTATTAAAAACTGTACATCACTATATTAATCTCTCATTTTGTATAGACATTTTTTGTAAATACTGAATTACTTGTGTAATAAAAACAGTTTGATATAAAGTTAATAGCATTTACACTAAACAATGTACTGTCTTACCATTGATATACATGTTACTTAAAGTGGTTACTGATAAATACAACACTTGTGCAACATGGGTATCTTTAGCTGTCAGCAGTATATAAGTCTCATCTCTGAATATGATGCACTTTTATCAAGACTGATGGACTGAACACATCGACTCCAAGCTGAGGGACTGATTATCTCAAAGTCCTCCTCATCTTCCACCTTTTACTGCACTGGACTGAGGAAGCCACTGGTTGGCAAAACATTTCCAGAATAAAGATACCCAAATGCTGCACAAGTGTCTAATTTGTCAACCTGCTGGTTTTCTCAAACTGGTTTTCATCTCATAAACAAATTTAATGAATACAAAATATATAGCAATTAACCCTTAAACGTCCAAACAAATCGGCGTTCAAATTCGTAGTGCTACAAAAGTAGATCTACTTTTTTTTACATATTTTCAAATGTAACAAAAAGAAAAATGTAGATAAAAGTTTTTTTACACGTTTTCAAATGTAAAACAAAAAAAAAAGATCTACATTTTTTACATACTTTCAGATGTTGAAAAAACGTATATATACGTTTGGACCATTTAAGGGTTAATTAACAAAGCACTAAATTATACTCATAACACAAAAAAGATGAGAATGGGGAACACTTCTGCACTGCAGTGAAAACCTTGGTGCGTCCTGAGGAGCACTGATGAGGCACATTGTGTGCACCTGGCAGCACGTCAATATAAGAAGTGAGAGCTATAGTTAATTGAAAATTATGCATAGCCTACAACAGTTCAAAATGATCATGTAAAATATTAATAAAAAGATCTAGGCAATGAAGAGAAATGTACAGTGATACTAGTGGCACAAAATTCTTTTGTATGCTCAAAATTTGCAGCCTGAAGAGCGTCAATCTACAAATTGTCAGAAAACAAGTACAATGAAAATATGCACTACAGACACAGCACAGAGTGATGTTAGTATCAGCATTAGTCTAAGAGTTCCCTCATAAAATGCTAGGCATCTTATTGAGGACCATTACTGTAAACACTGATGACACCATCAAGGCAGATTCAACACCTTGCATATATTGCAGTAATGTTTAACAAGTGCTAGAAAACAACCCCACACAGGAACACCATGTCATAAATACCCTTCATATCCCTCTTATACAAAAAGAAAAAAGAGAGAGAGAGAGAGACAAATTTAAGAGAAAACAACATCCACATCCATCATATGACACCGACAAGTTAATTACAGTAGAAGGGAGAAAAGGGGCCTTGAATATCCTAGGAAAAATAAAGGAATGACAAAGGTGGTGATGTGGCTTGTCTACAGGGCATGCAGGCGCAGGTGACGCAGAGTAGGAAGAGTGCCAACATGACACATGCCAGGCAACACATCCATTTAACATAGCTACCAACATTGAAGGTAGTAAGATGTAGGCATGCTTAACCCTGCAGGGTAATGTCTTCAGCTCAGTGTTGGTAATAACATGAAGTCCCTCTTAATACCTACACATATTGTAAAATATGTGGCAGCAGTAATATGAATAATTAAATAATTGACTGCCATGATATTTTTCAGTATAATAAATGTACGGCGAACTCTCAATTTAATGGACTAATAGAGGGAGGATATATTTTGTTACAGCCAATTCTCTATTAAATCCAAATAATGAGGCTCTTTTCTTGACTGAAAAAATAATAGGCAATTTTAGATTTAACAGATATTGTTAAATTTTAAAAACAATATAACCAGCAGACTGCAACAATTAAGAACAATTCTGGATTTAACAAACATAGTTTCATGTTTCCAGAAGTCTAGATTTTATCAGTTAAGTTGGGCCCATTAAATTAAGGATTTACTTCAATTATATTACTGTATTACAAAGTAATTAATTTTCAACTGAACCATGGTGAACCTGAACTGGTGCTTATAATGTCAATGTAAATATAACCCCTGGAAATTGTGATAACATATTTAAGGAATATTTGAGGTCTATGAAACCATAATAATTAACACCACAACTTTAGACAAGCCATCAGTAGGCAAGCCACAATATGTGACATTATCAGTCCAACCAAAACCTCAGCTAACACTAAGACTTCTTAAAGACGTCATGCTTGACACTGAGCTTCAGCATCTCAACCTCCACAACAAGAGTTAACTTCTCGGTCCATAATAATAATGTTGCATCGTGTGTCAGTCATTCCTCCCTGCTAACCTTTGAGCATGCACAGGATTGTATGGTCTTTACCTCATCAACAAAATATTTCAGGCTTGTAAAGTCCCATGATGTCTAAATTGTCCTATAAGAAAGAGGGTAGAGGGTGAATTAGATTGGTCAACAAAAAAATAATGCCAAAATAAAAGGTTATGGCTTCTATACATACAATACACCTTACAAATGGATGTGCAAAATTGTGGGTTATTATTTAGCTACTTGAAATTAGCACAAGTGATTTGGCAAATACAAAAAAAAAAAAAAATCCATATGTAAGGGAGTGGTTTTGTTGAATAACAAAAGAACAGTTACAAACATGCAAAAAATTATGTTACTTGGCAGCTAAAGCTCACTGTCTTTATCAAGTCAAAAAAGCTGAATAGAAACAGTCAGTTACTGGTAAGATGGCTCATGTTTAACAGTAAATTATAATTAAAATTCAGGCGAGGACATGTTTAATACAGCCATGCATTGTTTGGTTAAATCACTAGAGGGAGACAGACTTAATATCGTAAGACTTCATTGCTTTAAACATCTGAAGGAGCTAAGAGACAGAGGAATGAAGGTCAGAATTCTAAAACAATGTCTATAACCTCAGAATTCAGGTATATTACAGTACTTTATGATAACTTCATCTTGCAACACCTACCAGTGCCTGGAAACAACACCTACCAGTGCCTGGAAACAACACCTACCAGTGTCTGGCAACAACACCTACCAGTGTCTAGCAACAACACCTACCAGTGCCCGGAAACAACACCTACCAGTGTCTGGCAACAACACCTACCAGTGCCCGGCCCGGCAACAACACTGGAAACTGGGTTAAATATAACATTCACCATGAGTTCCATAATGGTCATAAAATCACTGTTTAAAAAATAGGCTAGTCTACCTATAGTCACTTTAACCTTACCAAAAAAAATTCGTGTATACATAACCAGACAGTTTAGCCTGGTTCTCTGGGGTATTCAAATAGAGGAAATGTAAAAAAAAAAAATGTATTTACAGTTGGTCTCACAGAAGTTGAGACAAATTATGGGTGAAGGAGACATGTGGTAACTCTTTCATGTAATAAATACCACTTACTTTTAAACTAATGTGCGTGTCCAAACAATTATTGTAAGAGAGATAAGATAAGATAAGATTTCGTTCGGATTTTTAACCCCGGAGGGTTAGCCACCCAGGATAACCCAAGAAAGTCATTGCGTCATCGAGGACTGTCTAACTTATTTCCATTGGGGTCCTTAATCTTGTCCCCCAGGATGCGACCCACACCAGTCGACTAACACCCAGGTACCTATTTGCTGCTAGGTGAACAGGACAACAGGTGTAAGGAAACGTGTCAAATGTTTCCACCCGCCGGGAATCGAACCCGGGCCCTCCGTGTGTGAAGCGGGAGCTTTAGCCACCGGACCACCAGCCAAGTTGTTAATTTCCGTATATAATGTTAGTCCACTGTGTTTTAGCTAAAGACCTGATATTAAGTATGTAAGGAAAATTCTGTTATTACTGATCAATTCTTGTGACATAGAATATAAAAGGAAGATCATGGTGAGTGGTATGATAGTGTGATATTTGTATTTGTATTATGCAACACTGATAATTTTCTCTCTCTCTCTCTCTCTCTCACTCACACACACACACACACACACACACACACACACACACACACACACACACACACACTAAAGCTCATGGAGCAGAGAGGGAGAGGACCTAGTAGCGACTAGTGAAGAGGCGTGGCCAGGAGCTATGACTCGACCCCTGCAAACACAAATAGGTGAGAACAAATATGTGAGTATACACACACACACCACACACACACCATGCATATACAACAGGCCCAGTGTCTAACAGACATGTGCCTAGGACAAATGGTAACTAACACACTCACACATCATTTAAGACTGTACACCATGTATGTCAGGCCCATACTGGAGTATGCAGCACCAGTTTGGAACCCACACCTGGTCAAGCACGTCAAGAATTTAGAGAAAGTACAAAGGTTAGCAACAAGACTAGTTCCAGAGATAAGGGAAATGATACTAGAAGAAAGGTAATCTAGCGAAAGGTCTCACGACACTGGGACATGGGGTAGGGAAGCTCTGAAACATATAAAATACTGCGAGAATGACAAGGTGGACAGAGACAGGATGCTTCGAGAGGACACAGAAACAAGGGGTCCACAATTGGAAAATGAAAAGACTCAGAATGATCAGGGGGATGTTTTGGAAGTATTTCTCATTCAAGGTTGTCAAGGAAGGGAACAGTACGTGGAAGTGATGTAAGTGGCGGTAGAAAACCATACATAGTTTTAAAACAAGGTTTGATAAAGCTCATGGAGCAGGGAGAGAGCGGACCTAGTAGTGATAAGTGAAGAGGCGGTGCCAGGAGCTATGACTAAACCCCTGCAACCACAAATAGGTGAGCACACACACACACACACACACACACACACACACACACGCATGAGGTTCAGTGGGACAGAGCACTGGCAAGGAAGTCAGTAAATGAGAAGATGAAATATGTGACAAAAATATGCAAGGAAACTGAGAGGTTTGTACCCATGGGTAACAGAAATAATGAGGTCAGGATGAGCCCTTGGTTTGCTCAAAGGTGTAGAGAGGCCAAAACCAAG